TATATATAAAGGCTTCATAGTTACCTTTACGTTATTAATTGAACTCACTAGGCGTAAGCCTAACACTTCTTTTGATATGGCTTGTATATCAGGTTCCTTTATCGGCGGGGCTCAAAAGGGTTGAGAGGAGTGTTGGTTCGTGAAAGGCTCTTTTGTAGTTATAGCCTTTGTACTTTTGAGCGATGCGTATTGAGGTTACGATATTTTTGGAGATTGATAAAAACACCCGTCTTTAATCTAGATATAGAATAATTTAGATTAGTATGTTGTTATTTATCTTCTCAATATCTGTTTTGTAAACGCTTTACTATTACCCGTGTCGGGTGAATTTTAATTCTAGATCCTGATTCTCGTTAAATATTTTCGGTTTAATTTAACTCTTCTTTTTAGGGTGTTACACTACTCGACCATGAGTCGAGTACCATTAGGTGGTTTCATTTTTTGGTACCTACAAATAAATGTCACTCTGGAGCACACCACAAGACGATCATAATAGGAGGTAAATGTTGGTTCTCGAGGATATATGGACAACCAACAAGTGTTTGTAGAGGGGGGGAGAGGGTTCTACAGTTGAATAAAACACAAACTTTTTCAAAGATTAATTCAATCTTTTTGAACAAGTTGTACTCAATGAAATGAATTACAAATTGATATAGAATAAGAAAAGATAAATGTATCACTCAACAATTTCTCACAAAATGACACAAAATATTTATTTGCTCACAGTTCTTTCATTGAATGATCACAAAGAAGAATTTGCTCGAACTTCTCTCGCTGGTAGCTCTTGAATCGCTTAGAAGAACTCTCGCATAATTACTTTTGGTGTATTTCAAATAATGCACTTGGATTCACCATCATACATCAAAGGGCTCTTTTTTCTGTGGACAAACATATTGTTGTTTACCCGCTACATTATACACCTAACCATCTAAACGATGGACCACAAATTGAGGGTCACCTATTTCCTTGATTTTTAAGTGTTATCATGACAGGAACAACACTAGAAACCCCATGCCAACTGTGCAGTGGGGCAGCCCATCTTGTCATTTCATCCTTACACATTTCTATTAGGCAATGGTCGACAATAAACACCCACACATCAGAAGGATAATATGCAAACTCGAAGCTCACCCCCTAGAGGATACCAACGCCTAGATTGACAAGGACAACCAACGGGTGGTAGCTAAGAACCGCAGACTTGAAATAGAGTTGACAGAGATTAACTAGAGGTACGAATGCTTGAAGAAGCTTGATATAATTATGACTTAATGGTTCTATACAGTTACATCTTAAGATCTTAAATTAAACCATTAATTTTCCCTTTGAATTTTAGTAGGAAATCAGAATATTTAAACAGTAAAAAAGTAAATTCAAACTATTTGATCCATGAATATGCATAAAACAAAAGAAATGAATAACTTATTGTGAGAGAGCTACATTTACGGTATGATATTTATATTTTACACGCAATTATGTATTATACCATCCATTAAATGAATAACTTATTGGAGAACTCTACCTAAAAGAGTTAAAAACTTTTAAATACTATACAATTGTTTTTATAATTCAATTAAAAGATTTTTTAAACAATAAATAAATATACAAATAAAGAATTTATTCAAGAAAAAAAAAATATTAAATAAATAAATAATATAATATAATATTCCTCTTGTTCCATTACATGTATTTGGTAATAGTTGTATTTCACTCCTTGTGGTAAAAGTAGACCTCCCTTTTATCCAACGCTACCGTCCGACGTCCGTCAACCACCACCGCCATAGCCAACCAACCATTGAGTTTCTGTAAATCAAGCGAAGAACAGGAGATGCCGGAATCTGAACCAGATAATCGGTTTCTGATAGGTTACGCCTTACCTGCAAGAAAATTGGGTTCTTTCATGGTACCAACCTTCATCAACCAAGCGAAAGATCGAGGGATTGATTTCGTCGCCATTGACGTCAGCAAACCACTCACCGATCAATCTCCGTTTCATTGCATCGTTCACAAGCTCTACACCGATGATTGGAAGCTTAATCTCCATGATTTCACCGTCAGCAACCCCAACACCGTCATCATCGATCCACCTTCCGCGATTGAACGCCTTCAAAACCGGATCTCTATGCTCGAATTCGTCACCGAACTCAAAATACCCAACTTAAGCATCCCCAATCAGCTTCTCGTTGAAGATTCCTCGTCGTTGTCGTCTGTAATCGCTACCGGTAAATTGAATTTCCCGATGATTGCGAAACCGGTTGTCGTCGATGGGAGTGCCAAATCACACAAGATGTCACTGGTTTTGAATGTGGAAGGGTTAACCAAAGGGTTGGATCTGGAGTCACCGGTGGTCTTGCAGCAGTTTGTGAACCACGGTGGCGTTATATTCAAGGTGTATGTGGCCGGCGACTATGTCAAGTGTGTGAAACGCCGGTCGTTGCCGGACATATCGGAGGAGAAACTGGAAAAGATGTCGTCGGAATCAGGGGGCGTTATATGTTTCTCCCAGATATCAAATTCCGCCTTGGCGGGTGACGATAATCGGAGTACAGAAGATTCCAACGAGGTGAAGATGCCGGCACCGGAATTCATATCGGAGACGGCTAATTGCCTCCGGCTGGCTTTGGGATTACATCTGTTCAATTTCGACATGATTAGGGATGACAAGGGAAGTGGGTATCTGGTGATTGACATCAATTACTTCCCTGGTTATGAGAAATTGCCTTGTTATGAGACTGTAATGACCGATTTCTTCTTGAATCTGATGAAATCACACACGGTGATGAAGAAGACGACGGTCGAGGGTGGGTCCCAGTGATTTTGACCGACCATCAGACCAAACCCGCTCTCGTTGTTTGATGGTTTTTGCGTTTGTTCCACTCTGGTTTCAGACCCAGCTTATTTGACTTTGAATAAAATAATTCTTGCCTTATTTTATTTATAGATTTAATTCTGAATATAACTAAAATAAATAATAGATTATTCAGAAATCAAATGTTATAATTAGAGGTGTTTATTATTATGATTATGATTATGGGTGTAAAAAACCGTTAAATTCTTTTAATCTTTTAATAATCTAATTAAACTCAACTCGTCAACCTATTAAATTTTAATTAAAAAGGTTGAAATTGGGTTAGTTTATTTCAATCCTACCAACCCGCCAACATGCTCTTAATATATGTCATTTTGTTAAATATTTTATTTATATTTATATACAATTTATTAGTCTAAGTTAGGATCGTATGAGAATGAAAGTTAAGATAAGTAGCGTAAGAAATGATTTGAACGCATGATCACTTTAATCTCAAATCTACTCATGAAGACATGAATCGCGTTTGATACGAGGATTGATCTGGTACAGATCGGTCCATCTCATCCTAATGTATATTCAAGAGTGAAAATCTCTTTTTACGCTTCTTACCTTAACTCTTTTTTTACCATAACACAATCCAGTCTATTAGATATATATTAATAATGTTTATTATACATGTGTATATATATATATATATATATATATATATATATATATTAATAATATGTAATACATTTATATAAGATTTATTGAGTTGAATTGAGATCATGTGAGACCAAGGGTTTTTCGTGAAACCCGTAAGACCAATTCTCAACCCTTGAATTAGATCTACAATATGACAATCTGAACATTCATAAACGCCACAAGACTTCTCAATAATCACAAAATTGTCACCGTACAACTTTAGACCATCAGATTATTAGCTTATAAAGTTGATCAATGAACATAAATTGGTCTCACGGGTCTCACGAAAAAACCTTGGTATCACGTGAACCCAACCCTTATTGAGTTTATGTTTCTATTTATTTTAGCTATATGTATAGTATAGATTACCAAAAGAGATTCACTATCAAAGAATGATAACAAAGAATCTAATAGAAGAAAATTATTAGAATCGTTTTTGCAGCAACATTAAATGATGTGTTAGGAAATATGAATGACGTTGATAGATATCTGGTTGAAGAATCTATCAGTCCAATCCATTGATGTTTTACTTTGGTGGAAAGAAAATGCTAATAGTTATAGCATTTCACTAAAACAACATTAAGTTTACATGACAAAACAAAAAAAAAAATATCATATCTAAAAGTGTCACAATATGTTTATATAACGCCTTTTGGTGTTTTAACAAGTTTCACGATGCTTTTAGAAATGTCATATTAGTTATTTTATACGACATTATTTGAGTATGAATACAAGTGCTCTATAAGTAGATGTGCTTATGGAACACCTCTTAAAAAATGTTCTATAAAATAACTAATATGAAACTTTATTTAAAAGATGTCTTAAAAAACTTGTTGAAACGTCCAAAAGTATCCTCTAAATTTATTGTAATCACAGTTCTAAATAACCCGTTATGGCATTAAGACTTGGGTTCGCCGCCACATTAACCCTATAGCCCCACTCTAAGGTTTGGCTTGCATTATAACGCGTGATGACATGTTCTGACACCTTGTGGCGTGTTATGATACGTTATTTTGAAAGGTATAGGCTTATTTGTAATATATAACTTGAAGGATAAATTATAATTATGTATGAGACCTAAAATTTAAATAAACATAAAAAGGAAATCCCAAAATTAAAACCTTAAATAGACTTACTCTCATTTTCGTACACAAATAGTCGAACACTAATTATTTGAAAATTGAAGAAAATAGTGACTAAAGATTCAAGAGAATTAATCACGATGTTGCACTATTGATATCATTTTTTTATAAGCTCTATATATTTGGTATAATACTTCTTTTTTTGGTTTATTACTTTATATGAATTTAATTTGTTCTACGGTATTATTCAAAACTCTAACACACGTGTGTATGGGGTGTGTGTGTATGCCGCCTTAGGACACACCTTGAAAACCGTTGTGACATCATCATAACTCGTAAAGTTTGAGGCTTGACCTTACTATCATGTCATAATTGAGTTGGATTGTATGAAAGTCGTGAATCGTCCAATCCAATACGCATACACTCCTAATTATGATACACATATACGTCAAACTAGTATTACACAATTTGGTTTACGGTTTTAAAATACAAACTAAATTCGAATCAAATTGCATATATCATATATTATTTAGTTGAATTATATATATAAGACTAATGAAAGAAACCATAAAAATTTGAGAAATGTAAGAATCAGTTTTTTATGTTATTTTATATTATAAAGTAACACATGTAAAAATGCAGTGTTTTTTATAGTGTCATTATTTTTAACGTTTTTATTTCACAAAAGTCCGTTAGCTATTATCCATATACGAAGTTAAAAGCTCTTAATTAGATTCTTGAGATGCGGGAGTTTGATTAAAGACGAAGCATTGTTTGTCTTTATAGCGTTCCTTTAAAATTTGATTTAAAAGTTTTATTCAGCTTTCTTACGTACCATCAAATTTTAATTTTTTTTTATTATACTGATTGTTTATTTCGATACAATCGATATAATAAACTTTGTGTTCGGTACAAATTGCACAAGCTACACATGTGAGGCAAATTTTTACGGTTTCAGACATATACAGGCTGGTTTGTGGTCTGTAAAAAACTCATACCGTATTTACAGCTTGGTTTAGTGTTCTGACTCTAACATGTGTCACACGACACTATGAATTCCTTTGGTCATAATACTCTAACAGTGTCCTTGCGACATTAGTGTAGAAAGTAAGGATGCGAGCATCCTTACAGAATTGAATCGGAGGTTTGGAGCTTGACTCCATGCACCACTCACCTCATTGGGAAGATGTGATCCTCCTACCCAAGGATTGGTACAATCGGGAACTTCAAAAAGTGACATGATCATACGCTTTGTAAAATAAGCGTAAAATAGTTTAATGGTTTGTTTGTGTTTTAGCCAGGGCCGGCCCAGGGCAGCATAAAGCCCAAGGGCATCAAAAATTCAAAAGCCCAATGTATATATATAGGTTCAGTTTTTACTTGGGCCTAAAAATGTTACCGTTAGCCTACTACCTTAGTCTGTTAGAATTACCAGTCCATCAATTGATCTGCATCTAGACTCTCGCTTCATTCTGTGGACTCGTTCACGACTTCACTCTCAATAGTCAAATCAAAATCGAAATCGCTCTCCTCTCGCACTCGTCGCCTCTCCGACCGTCGCACTCTCGCTCTCCGCCTCTCCGGCCGTCGCCTGTCGCCCGTCGCCCTTCGCGGCCTCGCCCTTCGCACTTCACGGCTTCGCCCTCTGCCCCTCTTCCCTGACTTGTGTTGATTTGAGGTTAGGGATTTCGGATTCATTTAACATTTTAAGTATTTAAGTATTTAACTATTTAAGTCTTTATGAATTATGACTTTATTCTTTAACTTAGTTACTTAGGGAGTTAGGGTGATTATGTGAAATTTAACTATTATATTACTTATTTTATTTTTTAAGTTTTTAATTTTGTTTGATTGGAAACCTAATAATGAAGTTATGAAACTAGGCTTAGATGTGCTGTGAAATTGGTGAGTGGACAGTGGTGACTTGCTTTGTTGGACAATTGTCAATTGCTTATGTTTGAGTTTGACTCACTGATGAATTTTGTTTCACCATTTGTTAATGTTTTAACTTTTACAGATGCTTAATCTTATGTTTAATACTTTAACTTAAGAGTTAGGGTTGTTTTACAGATTATATTGATGATTTGACTTTGAAATCTTTATCTGCTACTCGATGGGAAAGTCATATAGAAAGTGTTAAAGCTATCAAAACTGAAGTTGGCCAAATTAGAGATGCTTTAGTACAATTGGCTCAAGTAAGTGAGGATGGAAGAGTGTGTAGGGAAGCCGAGTCTTTGGTTAATGGTGAGCTTTCAAGTTTTGATTTATTGTAAGTTTGGTTATTTGGCATGAAATTATATATAGAATTAATTTAGTTAGCAAGAAGTTACAGTCTAAAGATATGTTTCTTGATGTTGCAATACAAAATCTAAAGAGATTAGTTGAATATTTTGAAAAATATTGGGAAAGCGGGTTTACATGTGCCATTCGTGAAGCTAAAGAAGGTTTAATGGCGGGGACCTCATGGCTCCGTGGTCCATATTTCGTGAAGCTAAAGAGATTGCAAGTAATATTGGAATTGAACCTGAGTTTGCCGTAAAACGTTTTTTCTCAAGGAAAAAACAATTTGATTAAATTCCAAGTACGAAGAGAGAACAACAATCTGCTCAAGAGACATTTAGAACTGATTATTTTCTTGTTTTGGTTGATATGGCTCTTTTGCAGTTACGAACCAGATTTGAACAAATGCAAGAATTTGAATCTATGTTTGATGGGCGAAATTTGGTTACTTTACATGATGACGAGTTAAAAAAATGTTGTTTGAACCATGAACTTGCTTTAACAAATGGTAATGATTTTGATATTGATGGCGAATATTTGTTTATGGAGTTACAAATTTTGCAGGGAATGCTACCAGAAGAGGCATCTAAAAGTGGAAATCCTTGGATATCGATACAAATTATGGAGTTCGCAAAGAAAATGGACATGTTTCCACATGTCTTGCTTGCTTACAGGATACTATTGACCGTACCGGTGACCGTAGCATCTGCAGAAAGAAGCTTTTCAAAGTTAAAGTTGTTGAAGTYRTATCTACGGTCTACCATGAGTCAAGAAAGATTGAACGGGCTAGCAATCTTGAGTATTGAGAGTAAGTTTTTAGTTAATATTAGTTATGACGAAGTGATAGATATTTTTGCTTCAAAAAATGCAAGAAGACATCATTTTAGGTGAAAGGTGATGTACTTTATCTTTTGTTACACGGGGTTTTGGTTTATACCCCCCCGTGATGTACTTTATCTTTTGTTACACGGGGTTTTGGTTTATGTCCCCCCGTGATGTACTTTCTCTTTTGTTACACGGGGTTTTGGTTTATGTCCCCCCCCTCCCCGTTGCATCATTTTTGTTATATTTAAGGGGCACTTTTTTGTTACATTGACTAGGTTCCAAAATCATTCAAATAGTTTATTTTGGTTTTTATTTACACGTATAAGGGGCATTTTTTTGACTTTCCGCCGTGGGCATCCAAAATCTCAGGGTCTGCCCTGGTTTTAGCTTAACGACTTAAATGTATATCATATAAATATTGTTTACATCAAGTAATTTTATTTTAGATGTATTTTAATAGATAAAAACAAATTTTTTTTAAGAAACTTATTATTTTTTCTTAAGAAAACTATTTAAGAAAGTTGTATGCATTTGAATGCACTTTTAAGTACTTTCGATACGTTTAATATATGTGAGTCATTTGACCTTCGTTTTTATCTAAGAGATCGTTTACCAAATGCTTATTCGATAAGTGATTACCGGGTCACTTACTTTACTGAATCCACATGGTAAGGATCTAGAGCCGTACCTGGTAAGAGCGATGGGCAAGGACTGAGAATTCTACCTGGTAAAGTAAATGAGAATGTTGACTCGCACCAGTAATCGCTTACCGGGTAAGCATTTGGTAACCAGCCCTAAGTTTTAGGTATGTTGATTTACTCCTTAAAGATAAAATATATGATGTTCTCACCTATTAAAAGAAAAGCGGCTTCATACTCATTAGAAGTTATGGATTTAATTAAAGTATCATTTAATTGGATCTCCAATGTAATTCTCTATTTTACTCTCTATTATAGAGTAAAAAACAAAGTATGTGTTATGTCTTCTCCAATATATTACTCTATTTTCTACTCTAAAAGAGAATATTCCAAGAATATTCTCTTATATTTTGATTGCATATATTTTTCCAATATTACCCTTATATTTATTGATTTTATAAATTATATCCTTATATTTTTATTTTCACACAGACCTTATATTTATTAACTATATCATGTTGTTTTAACAATGTTATGAATCATATTTAATTCCGAATTAAATTATCAAAAACCAAATATCATTAAATAGAAAAGTTGCATTTTCAACACACATCTAAAATTAAATACATAAGCATTTAATTGGAATTAACATAATTTTCTCATAAATGATCAACTAACGCATTTCGAAGTGCAAAGTGAGCTTCTTTATCCTCAATTTGTCTATATCGAGCAAGATATTGTTGGAATCCATCATTGTCGTTTGTTACCATTCCGTTGGTGGTACTTCTTTCACAGCTTCAATCGGTGCATCGAGATCACGATCTTCGTTGATTATCATATTATGTAAAATAATACATGTAGCCATTATATCATGTAACACTTCTGTTGGTCCCGTTAGGATCTACAAGATGTGTATAGCAGTTTGTAGAAGGGGGGAGATGAATACAAACACATAAACTTTTCAAATTTACAATATATTGATAAAGAAGGATCAATACTTACAAGATTGTTTGCGGAAAGATAAGGTAAATAAAACTTATCTAAATAATCTAAAGTTGCACACTAATTCTTAGCAAATAAAGAAAAGATTTACTGTTAAAGACTTAGAAGAAAGTAAGTTCTATCTGAGAAAGAACTATTTAGAATACAACTAAGAGATTCTAACTTGCTTTTGAAGATGAGTGTATATGTTCTTAGATGTGGGTTCTTTTACTTAAGTGTTAGTAAGTTGAGGTTGAGAGATGGGGGTGTGTGTGTATCTCTGCATGGAGATAGAACACATCTATTTATGCCCATTGCATTAAATGCAACGTGGTAGGGTTAGAACGCGTGTCAAGCCTTAAGAGGAAGGCTTGTCCTTTGCTAAAGTGAATAGTACAAAAAGCCTATTCATGAGCATACATCCTTTCACAAAGTTGGTGGGTAATAGAGTCAACTAGTCGGCTCCTGCAACACCCCATACCACACATTGCATATAACACATACTTCATACACAAGAAATACATGTTTATACACCACTTTGGTCCCTTAGTACAAGAATCTACTAGTACAAAATACATGATTCAAAAATTCAAAATACAAATCTTGTACTAATCAAGCTTCATTTACAAAACTATACATATCATTAGCAAATCTTCATGTTGTTAAACACATAGGGAAAAGATTACATTTTTCTCTTCCCTTTACCTCCTACATTTCCTGCAATACATGATTAAAATCACAAAACAAGGGTTAGACCGAAAGGTCTAGTGAGTTACCCTATTTATGTTATTGCAGGGTGAAAATCACCAAAACTTTTAAGTAAAACAACTTTTCATATATATAACAAATATATGAACGAGTGAAAACATAATACCAATACCTTTCACTTTTCAAGCCAAATTCTCTGCTTGCAAACAATACATTAAATCCAAACAGGTTTACACTAACCAATTTATCAAAATGCCACTTTTAAACCTCTCAAAATCAAATAAGGTTTTATTCAATGTTTCAGGCCAAACCTGTTATCATCTCCTCAATAACATCCAGACTATGATTTCCAATAAGAACCCTGATCCTAAACCTTTAAATCACAAAGAAATAAAGATTCCAGAACACGGTAATCTTAAGGGATATAATAGTAAGAGTTATATTACATAACACACATACAAATGCCACCCTTATATCCAAATGTACATCTCTCCTTGATATGACACCTTTATCCATGGAACACCTCTCCTTGATATGCCACCCTTATTTTCCCAACAAAATATTTTCACAAAACAATTCCATATAGAATAGACTGCAGTCAATGAAATTATTATCAGTTCAAATTCATTTTATCAACAATTCCCATTTTTCAACAAAAATAAATAGTCAACACGTAATCCCGTCAAACCTTGGCCGGATTACTAATCCGGACAACACTTCACTATGTCCGATATAACACTTAGAATAAATTTTCAATACTTTTGTCCGAATTTCTAATCCGGGCAACACTATGCATAATCGTCCGATTTAAATAAACCGGTTACCTTTAATCGTATTCATACTTCTCCGATCAATGTAATCAAGTGATTTATAAAGTTTCAAATCTCACTAACTCTCTACATCGTACATACTATGTGCCATTTAGACTAAACCGACCAACAAGTGTCCGATTTATGAGTAAACCGCCCAACCCTTTTGTCCGGTTTAAGACCATAACGATTAATGCCTTAGGCAGTTTAACTCTAAACCGCTCATGCCTTGGCCGATTAAGCTTTGAACCGCTCACCCTTTGTCCGGTTTAACTTAAAATCGCTTAACACCCATCCGGTTTAGGTCTAATCCGGATAACATCCATACAGTTTAAACTTCAAACTAGAGGAAAAGTTATGCAAACAATTTATGTATTTTAAAGAGAGTAAAACATCTAAATCACTCACCTTATGCAATACTTTTAAAATCAACTTCTTGAAATCAGAAAATATGAAATCCGGTCAACCTCTCTTTAAATCGCACACTTCTTCAAAAATGGCAAAAAAAGGATATGAGGGTCTCACCCTCATATTTATACTTTGCTAAATAAGGTAAGACGGCTAAACCGCCATTACCATCCATGCATGCACCTATGCTTACAATTACATTCACCCATTTATGCATGTATAATAATGCACAAAATAGTTATGTACACACATACACATACCATGCACATATATATAACTATTGTACATACATATCCACACATACATATATACCTATGCATGTACTTCATTATGCATGTAGTTTCATATACTAGCATGCTCAATATAATACTTTATCATGTTATCACATAATCATTTATCAAATAATCATATATTAATTACCTAGGGTGACAACTAAAAATCCGGTTATCACAGCTCCGTACCGTACTAACATTTAGAAAGGGTATGGGTTTTTTCTTTGTGTGTGTAAGGACAAGACAAAAACAATCATGCTCAACAAGCTTCTTTTGATCGCTAAATCCTGGAATAACCTGAAGGTCTCTTCAGCATTCGCTGAGGCTTGGGCAGTCTTCACACAGATGTAGACAAGGCTATAATTGTTGAATACCGCTTCAGATCACGTAGTCGCCAGTCTCTAATCTTCAGTTTCAGTCTTCGACTTTTGTTGAAGGTTCTTTGGTGTGAGTTTTGTCTTCTTGAAGTATCGCTGTCACTGATTGGATTTACATTACAAGTTCTTCAGCGAACACTGAATAGATTCAGTGAGATTGCTGGAACTGGAAACAGAAACATAAATACTTCGAGTAAGGTAAAAGGGATTATCATCAAATCAATGAAAGAGAGGATCAACAACTTCTTTTTTCCAAATCAGGAAGATCCCGCCATAATTGCAAAGCATGACCGGAGAACTCCAAACGCACGCTTTACATATTTTCTACAAGCTTCTTGTTGCATGGAAAAATATTTTTTTTTTACTATGTGGCTCGTGAATTGAATGCACTGTAGTGACCCATTTTGGATATAACTATCAACTAAGTAATAACCCATATCATATTATTTTCCTTGAATGACATGATAAGCACGAGGAGCAATACCTTGAGCAAGATTGGAGAAAAGATAAGAAGACTTAGTTCCTGGCAAGCAAAAAAAAAAGCATTCCATATACATAGATCATAATCTGTAACTGCTTCTAGAATAATCGACGTTGATCCACTAGGCCGACAAATTGTCTAGGACACCCGGTTGGAAATTTTTTACATTTCCATTGCATACAATCTAAACTTCACATCATTCTTGGAAAACCTCTCTTTTCATTGAATAGAGAATAGAGAAGTCTTGCAATGTCAATTAAAGTTGGTGATCTCAAATATTGTTCTGAAACTATTTCCACTAGCTCGACA